TGTGGGTGTGGGTGTGGATGTGGGTGTGGGTGTGGGTGTGGGTGTGGATGGGGTGTGGGTGTGTGGGGGTGTGTGGGTGTGGGCAGGGCCCGCGCGAAGGATCAAATATTAGGGGGTGTACGGCGGATTGGGGGGTGTAAGGAAGAATTTTCAGAAAAATCTTGCAGAAAAATTATAAAATGTAGACAAAATCTGCATTTGTGGACGGAAAAAACTGAAATTTTTTGGTTTTTGGCGGTGTACACCCCCTAAACTCGCTGCTCGCGCGGGGCCTGGGTGTGAGTGTGGGTGTGGGTGTGGGTGTGGATGGCGGTGTGGATGTGGGTAGGTGTGGGTATGAGTGTCATTTGTTGCTCGTCGGTGACAATAATACCCACACCTACACCCCGCACTCACACCCACACCCACCCACACCCACACCCCACACCCTTTTGCATCAACCCAATAGATAATTATTAGATGAACTAGCCAGCTTTTTATTTATACAGTTGGCAGTACAATATCGATCAAGGAATACCTGTAAGTCTAGATCAAATTATTAATTTGCTGCTTACCAAATGATATATTGAAATATTAATGACACTTTAATTGCTTGCAGCTGAAGTGTAAGAAAAAAAGAATTTATTTTTTGGGATATAACTGCGGTTTAAACATACTCTCATCCTCATGCGTACACTAATTGATGCGTAGAATATGCTAATTAAAAGAGACGATATGTTTAAATTATAGTAGCAGTGAAAGATCTGATAAGAATACCTAAAAATGATCAACTGTGAAAGCATCTGGCAATAATTTTTCCTTCGTTTTTCTATTATATTATTTATTTAAATATTAAAATATTTGTTAGAAATAAGGAGCTTCAAATTTACAGCGTATTTTGATATATGAATTTAGGAAATTCGGGACTGTTCCACAGTTCTCTAACTCACACCCACACTCAAAATGTATGTTTCATGCGTTCAATCGTGTTGTTTATATATGATTGTGTATGCATAGCACAACGGTGAATGAATAGTCAGCAAACAGAATGCGACACATTTTTATGCTGGAGCTCACAACACGATAACAAACGACACATCGGTGCGAGATATCTTAGTGTGTACTGATTAATTGTATAATAAAAGTTCGTTTTTTTGAGATAAAGAAAGTTTTATACTTAAAAACGTAATAAAACAGACGACGTTAATTAATACATTTGTAAACATTCAGAGTTTTTGATCGAATGTCTTCTCATAGAGTTTTTTCTTTTGCATGAAGACTTCTTTCGATATATTATTATAAATAAATAATTTTTTAAAATATGTCGTTTCGACCATGCAAATAATAATAATGATAAAACATTAATTACTCCAAATATTAAAAATAATCCACCCATCGATTCAATTCCTAGTGCAGTTGATGTTTCAGATGAATCAGGACACTTCTTTGTTTGAAACCATTTTATTCTTAAATCATCTAATTCATCTGATTCTCTTAATGATAAAATATTTACATCTAAATCTTGTGCATATAACCATTCTTTAGAAGTAACAATACTAAATACACTTTTATCAAAACCTTCTCCAATTAAAGTTAAATCACAATAGATATTATTTATATCATATTCAGCAACACCAATATCCATAAAAGCTGCATCAATGATATTTGCTAATAAACTATTATACAATTCTTCTCGAGATTCTAATGGATAATAATTTCGACTTCCTTCAGATATTTCTCGCAAATAATAATCTTCAGAAGCTGTACCAGTAAAAATACCAATACGATTAAAGGGAATTTTTCCACTTTTAAGATCATCAATCCCAGATATAATACTTTTCGGTTTTGATATTGTTAGATCAGATGCTAAATTGGCAGTATATGATGCTACTAATATCAAGCTTAACACATATAATCCAACAGTTATTAAACGTCCAGCAGCTGTGTTGACATTAAAATCGACACCATATCCAACGATATTACCAAAAGAGTACCACATACTCATTGTAATTTGAGAAAATATTGATCGATTTTGCAATGCTTCATTATCTTGTCTTTCTACTAGACAAAGCAAAATACCAGCATAGATACAAGCACCTAAGACTAACCACCATAGATTACGTGAAAATGGTCTTAAGAACGATAAGAGATCGATATTAACATCGGATGTTTTTCGCATAATAATACGTAAATAATTATCAAATATTGCAGTCGAAAAACCAACTCGTTCTCTTCGTATTGCGGTAACTGTTATATCACCTATCACTATATCATAAACACCATTTTCTACTGCTTGAATTAATCCTGAATAGGTTTGATTTGATGGTGCTAATTCAATAATTGGAATAAATTCCATTTTATTTCGTAAAAGTTCAATCAGATCAGGTACATAGCCGGTTAACTTTGTTATATTCTGTCCAGATCCATTGATAAAATTTGTAACCATTATAAATGGAGGTGATTCAATCACACCAATTCGTAAGCTTACACCTTTGAGTATTGCTCGATCAGTTGGTAGTACTAATGAATTACCTGGCCAGACAATAACATCGGATTCTGTATACGTTTTCCAACCATCAGAATCAGCATATTTTAATACTGGTACAAAATTCACACCATTTGAGGAAGGTTGAGCATTTTGTGCATAATAAAATGAACCATTAATTCGATCTGTTACATTAACACTAAATCGTATAGGACCTGATATACCAAGAAATTCTGTTCTACTAACTGATTTCAATAACAAATCAGAATAAATAATACGACGATCAAAACAGAATGAAGAACCAGTAAATGATGTACATGAGGAAGAACTATTTAGAGGTGTTGAACAAAATTGTTCTAATGATTTGATCAACGACCATGTTGCATCAAATGCAAATAATGAATAATAATTCACATTCATCGATACAGGAAATGTTTCTGGTTCATACGTTTTCCATATATTATATGCTGCGTTTAACAATGTTGAGTTAATTGATGTATCAACAATTGTTCCTGTAACAGGTTCAATAGTAAGCATTCCAATTAGTTTTTGATAAAATGTTTGATTAAAAGAATTTAATGGAACACTAGAGCTTAATATCCATATAAATTGTGGACCAACTACATCAGAATCAAGAGCATTTTGTAAAACTAAAGACATATAAGTTGATTGAATCCATAGCACAACAATTCGAGTTGCACTATTAGTTAAAGAGTTTTTCAAATCACCTCGAATACGACGTGTAACAATATCAAATATAATCATTTCTCTGACTGTTACACCATTTCGAATAAATGCTTCATTTATCACTTTAGCTCCACCAGATCCAAATGCATCATTTTGATATATTATTATCGATGATGTCCAATTAAATCGAATAAACAATTTGACAATAGCTGATGCAGCTGTATTATCTGAGGAAACGGTACGATAAAAAGAAAGATAAGCATTTCGATCAGATAAATCAGGATCAGTTGCAGCATAAGATATAACAGGTATACCAATTCTTTCAGCAAATCCAGCAATGATATGTGCTTCTCTGGAAAATGCTGGACCTATAATGCCGACAATATTTGAAGTAGACACTGATTGACATGTTTTACTAAGAGCCTCTGTTACATTGCCACCAGTTTGTGCTGCTTGCCATCCTATGAATTGTCCTTCAGTTGTTATATTATATTGTTGAGAAAGTAATACTGCTGCCTTGAACATCGCACGAGAATGAACAGAGAAATCAGTAGTTTCAGATGTATTTTCTGGGTCTGGAAAAAGACCTAATAAATGAATGGTGGAAGTGTTGGATAGTGGCCAAGTTGTTTTTACATAGTGTATATGAAATTGTAAAATTATAAAGTGTAACAGCAACCATCGAAAGTTCCAGAACAATAACATCGTCGTTTGACTCTTCCGTCAATAAGACATTTGAATTCTGTGTCAGAAACAGCAAGGTATACTAAATCTTAAACACGGCACTAAGCTATATAATGATATGCGTTCATAAATACTAATATGTATGGGTACTGCTTATGAAGATTATAAAATATTACAAACGATTATTTACGTTAGTTGTAAATGGTCATCGTAAATAACTACTGTGATTGATCATAAATAAACATAGAATTTCGTTTACTAATTAGTAGAGTACTGCAACCCGTGGATCGGATGTGGATATCCAGGTTCGGGTACGGGCACGAAGTTGACGGGTATGAAAAATACTGACATGATTGGAGTACAATTGCGGAAACTAATGCCCTTAGGGTGCTCTAGAGGTTGAGTGCAGAAAACTGAAAGACAAGTGCTGATGTTTAACACATCGAATACATTTTTCATTGGTTGTATTTATATTCTATGATTGTTTTGATTTTATTATTTATTTTTTCCACGTTAAAATGAAGAAAATGATGTATTTACATTGCAAACTATGGTTACGAGTAGTATACAAGTGAGTACTTCTTTCAAGCGCGTACCACGATTGCATCGATTTCATCGAAATGGAATGAAGCTACCAGAGCTTGTAAGACTTAATTATATCTGTAAGCATAGTTCTAAGTTCGAAAAAAATGGAAAATCAAGTAAAGAAGTCCAAATGGAGGATAAGATTAGAGCCTTCTAGCTAAACTAGTCCTTGTCTAGCTCCAAGGCAAGAAAATTCTACTATTGATGCTACTCGTGCAGGTGATCATTGTTTATAGCGGAGATTTTTCCTCCGTGTTCTGTTTTTAGGAAAAATTCTACAGATAATGCTAGTTTTTGACGTTTTTCTTTTGGTTGAAATAGTTCTATGAAGCTCAAACAAAATTTTAACTTTGATTAGTGATCTAGAATAGTCTAACTATTATCTATTTAACGCTGAAACCCTCAGGCCTGTAACTTGTTTCTGAGTCCAATGACAAGGTCATCTTGACAGTGTGCTTTCGAATTTTTCCAAACTTTGCAGTCCCTTCTCCGCAGATAGAACGAAGGGATTGTCAAAACCTGTCCTTAATGGACCTTCATCAGCACACCTAGCTCTACCATTCCCGAAATTTTTGGTCTTACCCGATGCAATCATGATTGATAAGTTCCTACTTCCAGGAAATTCAAATGAAACGATTATAAAAAAATTTCACAGAAATTTAATTTAATGCTTTCAGAAATAGGTGTAGAAAATTCATTTTATTAAGAAAGAAAATAGAAATGAAATGTATAGTTTAAACTTGTGTTGGGTTGGGTTGGAGTAGGTCAGAGTAGGAAATAAATTTTTACTACAGAAGCATGTTAGACAAAAATGAATTTCTTGATCCAATCCAACCCAAGCTTAAACTGTACACTGCATTTATTTTTATTTTCTTATCAAAATGGATTTTCTAACTTGATCAAAATCTAAAACACTAATTACAAAAATGCAAGAAACGCGGTTTTTGGGGCAAACTTTTCACTTTCAGAGCATAAAAATGGCGAATAACTCCAATCTTTAGGATTCAAACGCATGGTTTTTTTAATTCTAGAATAAAAGCGCGTTTTAACCCTAAAAATTGGATTTATTCGCCGTTTTCACGTTCTGAAAGTGAAAAGTCTGTATCAAAAACTACATTTTTGGAATTTTTATAATGTGTGTGAATAACTCACAATCAGGATTTCCTTTTGAGCGTTTGAAGACGTTTTTTCAAATTTTTGTCTGCTTGGATTGCAGCGCCCATCATATCCTGATGTAGTGGAATTGGAATTTCCTGAAAATAGGAATTTACCATGCCCTCAATGCAATTGGGCTAAGAAAACCGATTTTGAAGGTTTTGCATGGTATTTGCAACAGCTACAACAGTGATTTTCTTCAGAAAAACTTCAAAATTGGTTTTCCCAGCGAAATAGCATTGGACAAGAGCAAAAATTTCGCGAATGGTAGAGCTAGGGGTGCTGATGGAGGTCCACCAAGAACAGGTTTTGGCAATCCCTTCGTTCTATCTGAGGAGAAGGTACTGCAAAGTTTGGAAAAATTCGAAAGTACGCTGCCAAGACGGCCTTACCATTAGACTCAGAAACAAGCTACAGACTTGAGAGTTTCAGTGTTAAATAGAGAATAGTTAGACTATTCTAGATCTCTAATAAAAGTTTATTCCATTCCGATGAAGTCGATGCAATTGTAGTACGCGCTTGAAAGAAGTACCCAAGTTCGAATGATACGGGCCAGGTTGGATACGGATAGACTATAGGTACGAGTAAAATACGGGTAAAAAATTTCTATATGAATCAGGTACAAGTACGAAAAGTTGTACCCGTCCAGCACTCTATTTACCACTTAAACTGTCTAACTTGAGTGTTTTCGATATAAATAGGCCCGTCTTATTTTCCATCGATAGATAAACCAACAATATTTAAACAGAAAAGGATTCTCTAAAATTCTTTTTAATGATTTGAAATGTAGCTATTCTTAAGATGATCGGATGCACTAATCAGGATAATTTGTCTGCTTGATATAATGGTCTACACTAGAATTTAACATGATTTTTGTACACTTTTATCGGCATATGCATTTATTTCAACGTCATGAAGAGAGAAAATGAGATTTCAGTGAAAAATGTTTAAAATTAATCAGAGTATCTATACCAAGGCAGACAACAAAACGACATTTTAACATCTCAATATTCAAACTGTTTAAACAGTTTCATTAGCTGCCAAAAAATGCGTTAAAACAGTTTATGAAAAGTTGACTTGTAATACATTTTATACGTTTAAACGCTTGGTGTCATTGAAACGTTGACTGTTTTAACTCGTTTTTGGCGATTAATGACACTGTTTAAATAATTTCCATTATAACGATCAACAAATATTTCATCTAAATGATGAAATGTCAACGATTGATAAATAATTAAATTTGTCTTCCTATATTGATTAATTCACCTGTCATATCTAAATTATTATTGAACTAATGTTAAATTGACAGTTATTTACCTATTATTCGGAAACGATGAAGAGAATTTCTGCTTAATCAGTGCATCTACTTTTTTACATTAAGATTAAGTTTATATTTTATTATTTACTTATTTGCATATTTTTCTTTTTGCTTTTTCTTTAATAACGGAAGGAAAGATAAAAATACGTCAGCTTGCTCGAACAGCATTAAAATGTTGCCATTCCATTCCATTACTAGAAGAAACAAGAAGAGAAAAGGAAAGTATGCAAATAAGTAAGTAGTAGAATGTAAACTTAGCCTTAGTAAAGAAAACAAACTAATGAGAGGGAAATTCTTCGCACTCTTTTCAAAGAATAAATAAATGTCAATTATGTACACTAATCTTTCATACTTCAAATAAGTGACGAATGAGATAGATTGATAAATAGATTTTAAATACTGCAGCTGCTGCAGTTAACACAGAAATTGATGAAAAGAAAAATGGCAAACCACGATTTATCTGCCCAGCTTTTAATATGTTCGAAAATCAATTTCTATTTGAAAAAAATCACTGTATTAATTACACCATGTTTTCTATAACTATTTTAGAAAGTTAATTGATATAATTGACCACGGCATTAAACACGTAATGCATCATGTGTACCACGAAATCAAATTCATATTGTGACCAAATATACAGATCTGTCATTGCTAAATTTGATGATGCTCGTTCGTTTCACTACATCATTTAAATGAAATAAATGATGGAATGGATTCGCATATGAATAACAATGTAATTTTCATATCCTATTAATATGAAAATATAATAAATGCTTTAAATAAATAAGAGTATGCAATATGAATATAACTATTCTGTCTAAACAGCCATAACTTCATTTAGTTATGTTGGTTGATGATCTCTTTTTGGTATCAATAGAAGAATGACTTTACGCATATAATCTAAATGTTTAACATAGAAAGATTTATTCTTATTCCAATGTTAATTGCTGCATTACATTTGCCTATTGTTCGAATGTAGATAATATTTGTTCTCTCAAAAAAATCGCTCGCGTATTGTGAAAGTTTCTCGCTTTATAAGAGAGAAAAAATGCTTGAAAATATTTTTCGAGTTATGAAGTTCGAATAAAGTTTTGTTAGACGATCAACAACTTTTCTTATCTTCTAGCTAGTTGTTTATCGGTTTCATTCTATCCTCAGCATTTCTACTCTTTTCGCGTTATCATATTCCGTGCATTGATCTTATATTTTCCTCTTATTCACTCCGATTTCATATTTTTTCTATCTTCGTCGTATTATTCGGTTATCATCAGTATATTATATAATCATTTCTCTTTTTCTTTCATAATGTGCGTAGATTCTTAATGCCCATGCAGTCAAACATGTGAAATTAACGTGTTCCAACAACTTCTACTTTTCTTTCTTGTAACTGATTCTGCACAGTCATCAATCATGTCCAAAATTTGGCGTCTTAACGGTTGCCTTTTTCTTACATTTCAATCTCATTATGACACGTCTTTTTGGAAAAACATCTCTTCCCGTTTTTTATATAAACAAGTTAAAACGCCAAATTTCGGACATTTTGATTGTGTACATTCCGTAGATACCAACAGCGGTCTAATGCATTTGACATATGATTAGTTTATTGCATTGCTTGATACAACGTATGAAAACTGGATATTTTTGAGATATTTTCAATAAGAATAATATTGCAACTAAAACTAATGACTACTGACTGCAGCTCGTATAACTTGGTATGAGAACTATTAGTAAGATGCAATGTTCTCTAATAAATAACAGACTCCATGTAAGGTGTGGGTGTGTG